AGAGAGAGAGAGTGAGTGGTGTGGCGGGTGAGAGAGGCTAGAGGTAGACGGGGGAGTGTGTGCCTGTGCGCGAACGTGTGCACGCTTGCACGTGCGTGTGTGTGGGTGTGTGTGTTTTCAGAATAAAAACGACTAATGACTTCAAATATAAATATTACAGTGGGTTAAGGCCATGAGGGTCAATGTAAATAAATTAAAATAAATTCGCTAAAACAATATATTTAATCGCATCGCATGAAAGAATAAAAACGGCGATATCTTTAATAACATGTTTATAACCAGAATAAATCAGACCATTATTTCCTCTCATTCTCACATTTATACCTAATTTTTTTAGTTAACATATCGCAACGTTTTTTCTTACCGTTTTATTCGGCCGTTTTACGATTCTAAGATGTCTAAACATCAGCGTTCATCTCTGCTGCCACTTTATATTTTTAATTTTAATTGTATAGCTTACCTTATTGTAATTTTGTTAATTGGACTGATTAACACGTATTAAAATGTATAACTATAATACGTTTTATATGCTTTTCTTTCTTTAATTATTTTAACTCATTATAACATATATTACTTCATACTAGATATACTAGATCTTTTTTATCTTTTACGCCGAAGATGTTCAAAGAAACTGTTCTAAATGTTTGTCTATTGTCTATTCCTATTTTAAATATCTTATTTTAAAGATTTCTATTGTTTTATGCGATGTCAAATATATTGTTTATAGCAAACACAATTTAATGTATTTACTTTGAATCTCTTGGCCTTGACTTCCTGTAATTTTTCGAGATATTTAAGATTCTTATTTTACCTGGCGATTTTAAACAAAGCGCAAATGTGCGAAATGTATATTAGGAGCACTGTTACAATAGTTACTATTGTACTGGTTCCAACATAAAAAGTTAAGACCATATGCGTCAAAATAGCGAAAAAGTATGTTTCTTCGTCGACAAAGTATTCCAGAGTAATTATCATTTGTAGCGAACGTGATTCATTCATTGGTATAAACACATCAAGTACACGGGGAAAACAACTTATTATAACTAATCCCAACGAAGCGCTCGTACTCGTAACTGAAGCAAATAAATCATGATATAGTCAACATGTAGTGGACGTAGTATGAAAAGTAATATATTTTATATTTTACTAAAAAAGTATAAGAAATACAGACAAAAAATACAACAAATATTAGATTAATACTATTGACATCAATGTAAAGATGTTATTATTGTAAAAAATTTTACATAACTTTTTAAAACATTCGAATATAAATGATATGAATATAATGTGTAATGCTGATAAACTAAATTAACATTCACATAAAAATAATATACTAGGAAAAGGACTTGATTGATACGATTGACATTTGATTTTGTTTCTTACGAAAAACACAGATTATATGGAAGTTTGTTCCGTTTGCATATTTTCGTAAAACTTCCAATTCTGCCTGAGCTTTTAACATATTCCAATCGTATTGAATTCTATCGAAGATATATTTGATCTATGATCACAAATAAAATATCTTATTCTGTAAGTTTTGGGGAAATTATGTGTCCTATGGGATACTTTTTTATATTTTCACGTAATTGTAATATTTTTTTAATAATATTTAATTCAATATTTTTTAATATATTAAATAATTATATATGTCATACGATGTTAAGTAAAATTGGAAATAGAAAAACTAAAATCGATAAAAAATATTATTTTAACAAAAAATCTTATATGAACAGAATTTCAAATACTAAAAAACCAAGTGAACACTTACGTTATCGTTGAGTAGCAGACATGTGTTATACATCAGAATACATATACAAGTCATAACAATGTATGACAACATTTTAATAATACACACGATGTTGTACTGTTTCATAAACAATGGAATGCACTGAAAGCAGTAACCTTATTGAAAGATTATAGCAAAAATGTAAACAAACATTAATTTAAATAAAACTGTATTTATTTAATATTATAGAGACTTGTCAATTGTTATATCACAACGACTTGGCATAAACAGTTATTTAAATAAGTAAAATACATATGGAATAAGAAATCGAATACCTGACATATTAGGAAGGATATGAATAACGTTTGGTAAAACATTATTTGTACTTTCTTGAAAGTTGAAATGTCATCAGGCCACAGACCGAGACACGACATAAGAATTCTACTCAGCTTATAATGGCGTTCTCCACCCAAGTCCATCCTCCACGAAAGCTGAAATGCGTATGTCAGGCCTAACGCTGCAAACCTGTGTTTCCCCCTCCATGTATCGAATTTAGGTAGACGATAAATTTTTCTTCCTTAGACTCATAAGATAATTGTAAAGGTTCAATTTACCGTAGGATAAATAGCAAATGTAAAAAATTCATAAAGCACCGGCACGGGGGAAATAGGTGTGTGTAGCAAATAAAGACTAAATTTCCTCGATTTTCTCCCCCCTCGACTATAAAACGAATAAGTCAATAGAAATGGTATTACCAAAATTAGCAAAGTACATCGTATACTTTTTCTTTAAAAATAGATGTCTTTTTATGTCAAACACTATAAGTTTTACGGGTAACTATCACCATTTTATATTATTATACCTAACCATCACTTTATTATGATACACGCATCGACTTTCTTCTACGTAAAATAGCAACACTTTTCATATTTTGTGTCTATTAATGAATTTAAAATTTGAATTAAAAAATTTGCATATAACAGTGCAGTAATGCAACCAATGTTTTGCAGAAGTGTGGAAAATTCAGATTATAACATGTGTCATTGTTCATGTATAAGGAGAAGGTACGTATTGATTACCTCTCCATTTCTTATTACCCTTTCAATGTGTGTTCAACAATGCACCGTTCCATTACTTCTCCAATCGGTAGATGTTGCTCTTTATTCTTCCTGTTATCGCGATGATTGTTGTGTAACGATTCCTCTAATTAGGAGAACTTCATCCTTCAGCTGAAAGAAATATCGATGCGCGTGGGGAATAGTGTCAAAGGCGCTTACAGAGTACAGCGGAAGTGTGTGAAACTGTGCGTGACGCACATAGATGTGTAGTGTACTCACGTGCGTACATATAACTGTCGCTTATGGCTGCGTAATTCAGGTGTAAATTCGCACCCGAACGCCGCGCAGTGACACAGCGTGTCCCTATACTGAAAGAAGTATATACAAGTCTCTTGTAAGAGATGGTTGGCTCCATAATGTGGCGTATCTATATCACGTTGAGGTTACCAATTTGAAAGCTCTCTGGTTCCGCAAGTTCGCTTGAAAAGAAGTCGACGAAACTTTTGAAACGACTCATATTTGTCGGTTTACAGTTTTTTTGGATTAATTTTTCATGCCCGAATGCGCTTTGCAAATATGTTAGTCAAGCTTGCGCTCTCTATAGGAGATGTGAGGTTTGGTTAGAGTGACCCAGATTGGGCCCTATTTCTCAGGAAGTAGTTTTTCCTCTTCTGAAATATCCTCTTCTCACGCGGACGCCTTGTTGAGTTTTCCTCAAGGATTGCTAGTGAGCCTTTATTTGCGCTCAGGCTATTGAAGTGTTGAATCATGAAGGCGGCATTAAGTTTTATGTATTATATATTTAGTGCTTTATCATATTATGTTATATTGAAGAAATATAAAAGTAAATTATATTAAATATGTGCACCGAAAAAGGGAAATTATATTAGAAAGATATGTTTAATTGATATTATTGTTAATAATGGAAAAGGAAGATAAAAAGTAATCCAAAAATATGTCTTAATCTATGACACAATAGCAATAATTTAAAAAATGCATTGTATTATTATTTAGTTTGATTTAATTTATTAATGAATATGTAGAAAAGTACACGTAAAATGTACTGTACATATCCTAGTCCTACAACTCGGATACCTAAAACGTAATTATTACTTCTTTTCGCTTTCGATGTGTGTTCCCATGGATTGAAGAACCATAACATAGGATATGGACGTACTTAGAAGCTATAAATACTATGACTAATAAATATTTACAATCTCTTTCTGTCATTGAATTCATCAAAATTAAATTACCGGCAATATTCCTTACCGTAGCAAAACCTTCTAACGACGCGTCAAATAAAACTCCAACTGTTAAAACACTGTGTTTGTTACTTCTTTGTATTATGAGTGGTATTAACTTTTGCATACATAATGGCGCAGCGTACCAATGTGCATTATATCTATTACATACACAAATACACATATACAGCAATTAATACAAATTAATATATTTGATTAAATGATATTATTAAATAATCAAATGTGTTTACTTACGTCGCTTGAGATATGGCAGTGCTGCTATCTATAATGTTCTGACCAACATAATTTCCCAGGAAAACGCAATCTAATTCTATAAATATCACTGCACTGCTTAGAAATATATCCAATTTTTCCCAGGATGTTAATGCATTAATTACCTTGAATCGAATATTATTTATTATTATAATTTTATAACTTCTGTAATTTTATATTTGTATATCATAATAAATATTTTTTTCCAATAAATGATATAATATTCTGTTCGTTTGCATTTACACTTACATTGCAGAAACTGAGACTCATCAAAGCCACAGAACATACTAATAACACGATATAGAACACCGAAAAACTGTTCGTTAGAATATTGGCTGAACTTTAACAACGAAATATATATTAACTTTCATTTGTAACAATAATATTTTGGCCTTGCGCTCAGCCTTTCTTGCAAGGATTTTTAGACATATTTAATTTAAAAAATGGCAGTTTATTAAATTCTGCTATTTTTAGTGTTGACGATTAGATGTTATATGAACACAAATTCATATTTGTAATATGTCGCGACATTAATTTTGTCTTGTCCAGGCAAAGTAGGTTATGAGTGCAAAGGAATAATATAATTTAATTTAATACTAACTCCATAGCTCGACGATGAATACATACAGCATGAATTAAATTGTTGTAAAGCATTGACTGTTTAATGTCCGTTGGCATTAATTGTACATTTTTGTTAATTGTACATGAA